AAAATAAAACAATAAAAAATGCAAAAATAAAATGAAATAAAAACAACATTAAGGTTCTTTTCTTTTGTAGTAGAACATGATTTGTACCAGTCTTTAATAATCGTGAGTTAGCTACAGCTGCTTTTTATGTTTGCACTCTTCCCACTTTGTCCTGCAGCTGCAGCTCAGCACTCTCCCTCAGGATAGTTATATTATTCCTCATTAACAGAAGACACGAGAGGTGAAAAGCATGTTTTGCAGGCATCCATTCACTGGTCAGTTTTCAGATTCGGGGCTTTGTTGGATTTCATACCGTGTCTTCTCTCAGACTGGAGGAAACTAAACGTCCCACGGACACCTTCAGGTGTTTCAGTGTGACATGAAGTATATATTTTAAAGTTTTAGAAAACTTGTAAAACAGAAAAAAGACTGTCTTAATATAAGTCATTAACTGGGGAAGTTTCATGGTGATATCTAAGAGTTAAAATGTTTAACCTGCACAACTAACGAGGCAGGAAACAGTGACATTAGGCAACACAGAGCAGGTCAGAGTATCAAACAATAAAATAAAAGGTGCACACAAAAAAAATAATTGTAAAAACGAAGTGTTTTAGTTTTTTAAAAATGTTTGAATGTATTAAACTGTGATGTGAGACTCACCAGAGCTGAAGCCACAAACATCAAACTGAGAAAGATGAGTCGCTCCATCTTTGTTTCTGTCGTCCTCCCGCTGTGTGAAGAAGACTGGTCACTGAATGTTTCTCTGACGGCGCTGACGCTCTATTTGAAGCCTCCTGGTTCAAGCTGACAAACCTGTGAGTCAGCAGGAAACCTTGGTCAGGTCAGATCAGAGCTGAGTCACCTGTGCTGTCCGCACTGATCGATGCTGTTTGTTGTTCTCGGTGTGTCGTTGCTGTGTTCACAAACACATCGCCCACTCAGATCAGTCACTGCAGGACTTACCGGCATTAATGCAGAATGTTTTCTCAAATCAAACAGTGACAAACACACTCATATCAGTGACGGAGATGTGGGACTGCTAGTTGTACATGAATCAGCACATGTGCAGGAGATACTGGAATATGAAGTGTGGCCTGTGACTGCAAGATCAAACACTCAAAAACAGAAGCAGGAAACAATAAAAAATAAATAAAACTATGCCATCGAAATAGAGCAAAACATTTAAAAAAGAAACACTTTTTAAAACATAATTATAAAACATTTATTTAAAAAACAGATCAAACAGAAATATCCAAAAATATAGAAAACCATTTTAAAAATACATTTTGAAAAATCAAAAAGCGCATTAAAAAAAATAGAAACATATTTCAAAATATGAATTTTATAAATATATATAGAATAGAACAAAATATATAGAAAAGGAATTTAGAAAATTAGCTAGAAAAAAAAATGGTAAAATTATAACTGAAGAATATTTTAAAAAATGGATAGAAAAACTAAAGACGATATTTTTATAAGTAGAAAAAATATAGAAAAATGTAAATGTGGAAAAAGTAAAAAATTTTAAAATAAAAATATTTTTACAAAAGGATGTAAAAAATATATAATATTTTTAAAAAAAGGATAAATATATAAAAGAAATATATGAATAAATAAAGAAACTTGTTAATAAGAATAAAAGTATTGTAAAATACAGTACAGGCCAAAAGTTTGGACACACCTTCTCATTCAATGCGTTTTCTTTATTTTCATGACTATTTACATTGTAGATTCTCACTGAAGGCATCAAAACTATGAATGAACACATGTGGAGTTATGTACTTAACAAAAAAAGGTGAAATAACTGAAAACATGTTTTATATTCTAGTTTCTTCAAAATAGCCACCCTTTGCTCTGATTACTGCTTTGCACACTCTTGGCATTCTCTCCATGAGCTTCAAGAGGTAGTCACCTGAAATGGTTTTCCAACAGTCTTGAAGGAGTTCCCAGAGGTGTTTAGCACTTGTTGGCCCCTTTGCCTTCACTCTGCGGTCCAGCTCACCCCAAACCATCTGGATTGGGTTCAGGTCCGGTGACTGTGGAGGCCAGGTCATCTGCCGCAGCACTCCATCACTCTCCTTCTTGGTCAAATAGCCCTTACACAGCCTGGAGGTGTGTTTGGGGTCATTGTCCTGTTGAAAAATAAATGATCGTCCAACTAAACGCAAACCGGATGGGATGGCATGTCGCTGCAGGATGCTGTGGTAGCCATGCTGGTTCAGTGTGCCTTCAATTTTGAATAAATCCCCAACAGTGTCACCAGCAAAACACCCCCACACCATCACACCTCCTCCTCCATGCTTCACAGTGGGAACCAGGCATGTGGAATCCATCCGTTCACCTTTTCTGCGTCTCACAAAGACACGGCGGTTGGAACCAAAGATCTCAAATTTGGACTCATCAGACCAAAGCACAGATTTCCACTGGTCTAATGTCCATTCCTTGTGTTTCTTGGCCCAAACAAATCTCTTCTGCTTGTTGCCTCTCCTTAGCAGTGGTTTCCTAGCAGCTATTTGACCATGAAGGCCTGATTGGCGCAGTCTCCTCTTAACAGTTGTTCTAGAGATGGGTCTGCTGCTAGAACTCTGTGTGGCATTCATCTGGTCTCTGATCTGAGCTGCTGTTAACTTGCGATTTCTGAGGCTGGTGACTCGGATGAACTTATCCTCAGAAGCAGAGGTGACTCTTGGTCTTCCTTTCCTGGGTCGGTCCTCATGTGTGCCAGTTTGGTTGTAGCGCTTGATGGTTTTTGCGACTCCACTTGGGGACACATTTAAAGTTTTTGCAATTTTCCGGACTGACTGACCTTCATTTCTTAAAGTAATGATGGCCACTGGTTTTTCTTTAGTTAGCTGATTGGTTCTTGCCATAATATGAATTTTAACAGTTGTCCAATAGGGCTGTCGGCTGTGTATTAACCTGACTTCTGCACAACACAACTGATGGTCCCAACCCCATTGATAAAGCAAGAAATTCCACTAATTAACCCTGATAAGGCACACCTGTGAAGTGGAAACCATTTCAGGTGACTACCTCTTGAAGCTCATGGAGAGAATGCCAAGAGTGTGCAAAGCAGTAATCAGAGCAAAGGGTGGCTATTTTGAAGAAACTAGAATATAAAACATGTTTTCAGTTATTTCACCTTTTTTTGTTAAGTACATAACTCCACATGTGTTCATTCATAGTTTTGATGCCTTCAGTGAGAATCTACAATGTAAATAGTCATGAAAATAAAGAAAACGCATTGAATGAGAAGGTGTGTCCAAACTTTTGGCCTGTACTGTATATGGAAAATATACAAAATTAATAGAAAAATATATATATAACAAAAACTGTACAGAAATGGACAGAATAAAATATAATATAAAATATTAAATATTTATCATCCTACTTCTCTACACTGTTATTATCATGAACACAAGTCAGACACAAGATATAAAGTCGTTTTGTCTTGTGGGGAAGAAAAACATCAAAACATCCATAGAAGTCATTTTTCTGGAACAAACTAACCTTCTGAGGATCTCTGGACCTGAGACAGTCGGTCAGCACTGATGGATGTGATGAGCTGAAGAGTGGAGAGGAGAATGCAGCAGCAGCGCCACCTGCTGGAACCATCACTGTTCGCAGCTGCACAATGTGGAGTGTAAAACACTGCGACAGAGAGCAGGGTTACATCTTCTTTGCTCCCACAGGCAGCTCGCAGGTGTCAGACACATTTAACACTCTTTAAAACCTTTCCCAGATCATTTTTAAAACTAAATTCAAAACCGATTTTTTGACAAACATTCTTTTTCTTATTCAAACATTGCATAAACATGTGGTCCTGTGCAGAGGTGGGCTTTATAACATCGTTATCAGGTGAGATGGCTTCATCCACATTTTGCCAACAGGTACAAGCACAAAGTAAAAAGACGATCAGGTCCAGAGATGGTTGTAACATTTGTGATGTCAAAAAAACAAACATAAGTTATTCAATTATTAAATTAAATAAGATAAAATATCTGTTGCTATTAAAACTAAACCTAATGTTTATGAAAATTGAATTTCAGACATTTCAAGACTTTTTAAGGACCTGAAGACACGCGTCCCTGAGTGCGACAACACGCTAAGCTAACATGGTGAATATTATACTTACTAACCACAGAGTGTTAGCATGCTACGTTAGCATTTAGCTGATAATAAAATAACGTTTGTAACATCAGAAATCTGAGTTTGACAGAACAGCTCGACTCAATTTGACAAAGGAAATTTAAAATGGATATATGAATTATAATTATCACAAATTCAAATCTAACACTTTTTAATGACTTAAGGCCAAATATTCATAAAAAATTAACTTAAGACGTTTAAAGACTCTAAAGACGTGCGGCACATGGACCTTACTGTGGGTCACCGCTCCAGTTACAAACATTTATAACTCATTTTGACAGAAACATGGTAACGTGTTATTCAGGTTAGATTACTTCCTGCTGGTTGAGGCCAGTTGGATCTAAAACGTATCGATACCTCTTGGAGACAAATTTACCACCAATTGTACAATAACCAAAACTGAAGAAGGAAAATTTTGCTCATGACTTTATTGTAACATAAAACATGATATTTTTTGTCAGAGTTTGGCACAGAGACACGAGGATCAAACCGACAGCCCGGTCTCTACTGCTTCTTGGTGTGAGTCAGTCGGTGGGTGGTGAGGTGCTGCAGGAGTCTGAAGCCTTTCTGACAGTGTTCACACTCAAACGGTTTCTCTCCTGTGTGAATACGGATTTGTTTGGTGAGGTTGCTCTTGTCGTTGAATTTCTTCCCACAGTCTTTACAGTCAAAGGGTTTCTCCCCAGAGTGGATCAGGCGGTGCTTCCTCAGCTGCACAGCCTGCGTGAAGCACTTGCCACACTGGGAACAGCGGTATGGTTTCTCCATTGTCTCGCAGCACTCGTGACTGGACAGCTCTGAGAGGTCTGTGAACTCCTGCCCACACAGGGAGCAGCGCAGCGGTTTCTCCCCATGAGTGGACAGGTGTAACTTTAGCGCTGACGGGTGGGCGTAGCCTTTGTCGCACTTGTCGCACTTGTAGGGTTTCTCGCCCGTGTGGCTGCGCTCGTGGATAATGAGGTGCTGCAGGAGCCGGCAGCCTTTGCCGCAGTGCGAGCAGCAGTATGGTTTCTCCCCGGTGTGTATCATCTTGTGCTTCTTCAGGTTGTTCCTGACGCTGAAGGCTTTGGGGCACAGGTCGCACTTGTAGGGTTTCTCTCCAGTGTGGGTGTACTGGTGCGCCGCCAGCAAGGCCTGGACCCTGAACCGCTTCAGACACAACTTGCACTGGAACGGCTTCTCGCCCGTGTGAACGCGCTCGTGCTGCCTCAGTTTGGTCAGCTGCTTGAAGCTTTTCGTACAGTGGCTGCAGCGGTGCGGTCTCTCCTCAGAGTGACTGAGCATGTGCGTCTTGAGGTCTCCCCTCCGGGCGCAGGTTTTGCCACACTGCTCGCATACAAAGGGTTTCTCCCCCGTGTGGACGAGGAGGTGCTGCTGGAGTGTGTGCAGCAAGTAGAAGCTCTTATTGCACTGTTTGCAGGTGTGACACCTCTCTCGTGGGGATGTTGCTTTATCCTGGTGATTTTCACTGTCCTGTGTGTGAATGCGTTCATGCAGCCTTAAGTGGCGTTTAGTCCGGAAGGTCAGACTGCATGTGTCACAGGAAAACGTCTCCTGCTCCGCTGGCTCGGACTCCGGCTGGCTCAGGGTGCCTGTTGTCGTGCTGCAGTGGTATTGCCGGTGTCGGGTGACGTTGCTCCTCCTTGCGAAGGATTTCCCACAGCGCTCACAGTGATGTCGGGGTTCGCTCTTCTCTGCTTTGTCTTCATTGGTTGAGTCAAGAGAAAGAGAAATACACAGAGTTAGAATTCAGTTTCTGTCAGAGATCACTTTTACAGCTGCAGTCTTTATTTTGGTGCTTTAGATTTAATCTTTGGACAAAAATCCGTTTTAGTTTCAGAGTGTATCATCACGAGCGTTAACACTGCTGAGCTGGGATTTTCCAGTCGGCCGCAGCACAAGAAGCGTGGTGAAGAGCGAGAGTGTAAAATCAGTAAGACAAACACCACACATGTTCATCTGTACAGAAACATTTACCTCCACCTCTGGCCTCAGACGCTACATCTTCAGCCTCTTGTTGCTCCAGTGTGGAGACGCTGTCCTCGTCCCGTATGAACCACCTCAGCCCGCCAGAGCTGCCGCCGCCGTCCTCCCAGTTGGGGTCGTCGTCGTCACACTCGGACTCTTCTTCTTCTTTAAACAAATCTACCTCCGCTCCGATATCAGTGTCATACCAGTGTGGATTCTCAAAGCAGTCGCCGGCCTCCTCTTTGAACTCCACCCTGATGCCGCTGTGACTCTGCTGCTCCTCTGCAGGATGGAGGAGCTGCAGGTTCAGTCCTGGAGTTTTCATGCAGTCCACCACGCAGACAGACGGCTGCCTCGACGCGAGCACTGAGAGCTCAGGGGAGAAGCCTGAGGACAGGACACAGTGGTTTATAAAGCACAATTCATACACTCTTAACGGGTCTTAAAGAGCTCCATGTGCAAGACATGATATGAAATGGATGCAGTGAGTGACCCGGAGTCTGTGGACACGACTCAAACACTGAACCGAGTTTCTTCCCATTTGGCCGTACGAGCAGGAGTGAGGTTAACAGCAAAACTACAGAGGCTGCACATTTACAGGCTGTCAGTGGTGTAGTTAGCATTGGTTAGCTTGAGGGCTAACTTGGCTACATTACAGGAGCGACACTGTCAACCTGAACTTCCCGCCAAGCCATCGTTACGAACACAGATGATACAACAGAAGGTAAGACGCCGAGTGAAAGGAAGTGAAGTGAGCACGTGATGCTGTGTTTCTGGAGGGACCCTCGTGTCAGCTGCTCACCTGTAGACTCCATCCTCCCAGCAGGTGTCTTCAAACAGTCCACCAGAGAGACAGACAGCTGCTTGAAGCCGAGCAGAGACAGCGTGCTGGGCGACGCCATGATGTCCACTGCAGTCGCTCTGAGAATCAACACCAGACGCAGATCTGAAAGACAGAAGATTGAACTGAAGCAGCTGAGGAAACTTTTATACACAAGTTTAACGACAAAATAATGTTTCTCTGAATATCGTCTGCTCCCCAACATGACTCTGACAGTGACAGTTATTACATCATTTATCATTCCAGCTTCACAAACTTCTCCTTTGAAACATGTTAATAACTGTAATGTGTCAGTCATCATGTTAATAACTGTCAGTTAATGGAGAAAATAATCAGCAGATTAATCCGTGATGAAAATAAATGAGCTCCTCCAGCCACAGCAGTCAAATCCTGCTTCTACATGAATGAATGAGTCACAATCATCCTGCTCGTTCTTTCTTCTTCTTCCGAGGAGATCCTACTTCCCATGCGCGAAAAATCACCAAACTTTGCACAACGGTCCAGCTCTGTGCCAGATTTGCTCAGCTGCAGACACAAGTCAATAGTCCTGATGGTGGTGCTACAGATAATATAAGAACACTTTATTGTCACCGTTAACCTTGTCAGACAATATCACTGTGAAAATCTGTTTAGCAGCTCCTATTTGGCAGTTATACAAAACAAATAGGGGGTATTGCACTCAGTATTTTAGTGTGTTCCAGTGTCAGTCTTTGGGTGGGATGGGTGGGGTGATGGCTTCGACGGCCTGGGGGAAGAAGCTGTTAGTGAGTCTGGCTGTTCTGGCTTTAAGAGAGCGGTATCTCTTTCCAGAAGGGAGGGGGGAGAATAGGGAATGTCCGGGGTGTGTAGGTGTCTCTGAGGGGGGGCAGTGTGGTCCTGATGATCTTCTCTGCGGTCCTCACCGCTCGCTGTAGGTCCTTCCTGTCCTCTGCGGTGCAGCTGGTGAACCACACTGTGCAGCAGTAGGTCAGGATGGACTCGATGGAGGCCCTGTAGAAGTTACCCAGCAGTGGGCGGGGGAGGTGGGCCTGCTTTAACTTCCTGAGGAAGTAAAGTCGCTGGTGGGCCTTTCTCACCTGATAGGAGGCGTGGATGGACCAGGTGAGGTTGGCCGAAATGTGGAGATCAAGGAATTTAAAGTTCTCCACCCTCTCAACATCCTCTCCTTTGATGGAGAGGGTGGGGGCTCAGTCTTTTTGGATTTTCTGAAATCCACAATAATTCCCTTGGTTTTGGCTGTGTTGAGGTCCAGGTTGTTATGGAGGCACCAGTCTGTCAGGCGTTCGACCTCCTCCCTGCAGGCTCACTCATCGTTGTTCCTAATCAGTCCTACAATGGTGGTGTCGTCAGCGAACCTGACAATGGTGTTTGTGGGGTGGATGGGGGAGCAGTCATGGGTGAAGAGGGAGAAGAGGAGGGGGCTGATGACACACCCCTGTGGTGTTCCAGTGTTCAGGATGAGTGTGGAGGAAGTGCGATCTCCCATCCTGATGTGCTGAGGTCTGTTTCTGAGGAAGTCCAGTATCCATGCGCACAGTGAACTGCCTAAGCGCCTACAGCAAGCGTCTTAAGTTCAAAACTTTGAAGATTCACAACAAATCAACCGTATGTGCTACAGCTTCGCAACTCACCAAAATGTAGCCCCGATACTGAAGAAACTTTTGTACATTTAAACCTATTGCGAATTATGAAGTTTTTGAAAACTTCTTAAAGCTCTCTCCTCCCACAATTTTTGCTCAGTTGACACCAAACCTGCTCCAGAGCATCTTCAGCGACAAACTGTCCTCCCAGATTTTTGATTTATCAGAAATTGAGGCTGCAGTGCACCAAGATGTTTACAGCACACGTATACTTGCAAATTCTTGCTGAATAAGTTTTCAATGTTCATGAAAAAAAATGGACATAATTTTGGAGTCGTGGTGGATGATGTTTGGCAAATGTCAGAATTTTATATCAAAAACTGAATTTTTGGCAGTAGTTTGAATTCTGTCCTCACGTGACCCATCGCTGTCAGTGGGAACAGAGCAGGTTTTCACTTATGGAGTAAATCAATCAAATTAACATGTCCATGCTGTCTAGATGCAGATGTTGTCTTGTCTTGATTCTTGTCTTCCTATTCTGCCTCTTGTTGCTCAGCATTGCCTCAAATTGCCCCGACCTATGCTTTTATCTTCTTGTTGCCACTTCAAACACTTTCATTTGCGCTAATGTAGCTATTTAAATACAGTGTATTATCATTATCATTGGTTTATAACCGCAGTGACGCTGAGCTCACAACTTTAGCACGCGTGTTGATGTAGCTCTGGGACAACATGTCTGCTGTGTGTCTATGAAGCTAACTTTAGCTTAGCCACACTTTGTGCCTCTCGTGTATTAGCGTTACACTCAAGGTTCATATCGGAGCTAAGGTTGGCCTTGTCAGGCTTCCGTCCGCCTCCATCTTCCTAATTCTGGCCCAGTTTCAGTCACTGTTCCTGCACTGTAACACCACACAGTGAGAAACACGGTCACACTCACCACAGAGAGAACACGTACTGTCCTTTCATCTTTTCATGGGGCTAGCGTCTGAGCTACACCGCTGCTGCACACCAACATCTGGTTCGTATCCACATAAATAAACTTCCGCTCGTGCATTTAAGCTTTCAAGTTGTGAAACAAAACGAAAACGTTGTTTCCGGTCTTTTCAAAAAGACAATTAAAGTCCAGACAGAGGAGCCGCTGATGAACTGATTTTCAAACACAAGAGCGTCTTTGTTTACTTCCGGGTTTAGTGGGCGGAAGAACATTTCGACCAATCGGCTACGACAACGTCAAGGGGAGCCGCGTTATTGGAGAGTTTTGGCGCCAATCGCTGTGTCGCTGGTTTACATGGAGACGGCGTCTCGTTCAGGACAAAAATAAGTCAATACGCGTTTTAAAAGTTTTTGGGTTTTTTTCCTGTTAATGTAATTATATGAATATACAATCAATCAGAGGGACATTAGGTACAACAGGAAGTGATGTCATAATGATAATAATAACAATAATAATATGATAATGATAATAATATGATGATAATAATAATAATAATAATAATATAATGATAATAATAATAATCTGTCTGTGGAGCAGCTCCAGACTTTTTATACCTTATGACATCACAAATTTGAGTTGTATCATGTTTACTAATATTTTCTGACTGTCTTAGACCAGTTGTGAGAACAGGTGTAGTTCCCTTTACAGTGTTTACTTAAGTTCAGACTGTCTGTTCTGGGAATTTATGCCAAGTGTGCATATATGATGCATAACTTGCATATTTAAATATAACATTTCAGTTAACGTGTAACACAAAAAATAATTATCTAAGCGTGAGTAATCAACTGGGGAAGTTCCATGGTGACAGTACACACCTGCAGTGTCTTATCTTTGCTATCAATAAAAGCCATTTTACTCTCATACTGTGAACCAGAAATATTTACCTCACTAACACCTATACAACCAAACTTTCAAGTTTTAATCCATTGTAATATTCTGAATATTCCCATATTTATATTCATATCTACATGTTCCTTTTATGTGAAGGGTGTATATAGTGTAAATAGTATTAAGTGTGTAGTTGTGTCTAATTTAGTGCTTTATATTTTTCTGATTCTGATATCTTTTTGTATTTTATCTTTATTCTATAAGTATTCTATCACTATTCAACTTGCTTTTCTATCTGTGCTATTTGAGCTGCTGTAACATGTGAATATCCCCATTAAAGTTTTATCTCATTTCATTTCATTTCATTTTTCAAATTTTATTTTACTTCATTTCATTTCATTTTTTAAATTTCATTTTATTTCATTTCTAAATTTTATTTCACTTCTTTTCATTTCATTTTTTAAATTTCATTTTTAAATTTAATTTTATTTCATTTTTTAAATTTAGTTTTATTTCATTTTTTGAATTTTATTTTACTTCATTTCATTTCTTTTTTAAAAAAATTCATTTTATTTCATTTTTAAAAAAATGTATTTTATTGCATTTTTTGAATTTTATTTTACTTCATTTAATTTCTTTTTTCTTTTTTAAAATTTCATTTTATTTCATTTTTTAAAAGTTTATTTCTTTTTTAAATTCTATTTAATTTAATTTCATTTCATTTTTATCGTATTTTATTTCATTTCATTCTTTAAAATTGTATTTCATTTTATTTCATTTTTTTAAATTTCATTTTATTTCATTTTTAAATTTTATTTTATTTCATTTCATTTCATTTTTTAAATTTTGTTTTATTTCTTTTTTATTTTATTTCACTTCATTTCATTTCATTTTAAATTTGATTTTACTTAATTTCATTTTATTTCATTTTTTAAATTTAGTTTTATTTCATTTTTTAAATTTTATTTTACTTCATTTCATTTCTTTTTAGAAAAAATTCATTTTATTTCATTTTTTTAAAAATGTATTTTATTGCATGTTTTGAATTTTATTTTACTTCATTTAATTTCTTTTTTCTTTTTTAAAATTTCATTTTATTTCATTTTTTTAAAAGTTTATTTCTTTTTTAAATTCTATTTAATTTAATTTCATTTCATTTTTATCGTATTTTATTTCATTTCATTCTTTAAAATTGTATTTCATTTTATTGTATTTCATCAGGGTTTTTTTTTTCAGATTACTTGAGTGATAGAAAGAGATAACTTTTTTTACTTATCCTTGACAATGGGGCCAAAACCTTTTTTTAAACTCTTTAATCAGGCGGTGAAGATTAAACTCAAAACTATTAAACCTCCCAGTGATTTCTTTTTTTCTTTGACACCATACATGAAGGATGTCAGAGGTCAGATCTGACGGAGTTAACAAAAAATTATACACAGCGTTGGTTTGGATCCATCAGGGGTACAGAACATATCTGTTATATCTGAAACACACTTGATAGAAATATTATTTAATTAATTTATTTATCAAAAAAAGAAATCAGTACCTGAGCAGCAGTCACACCTGTTTGGAAACCAGGAAGTGAGACAGGATGTGATGTTGCTGACTCCTTTGTCCCAGATAGAATGATGATGTTGTAGAAATCTGATGGAGCTGTCAGTAAACCTGAGACACATCTTTAAAGGGTCAATATTTTCATATAAAGTATGTTTCATAATTATAGCAGCACATTTTGACGCTGATGTCATCAGCACATGCTGCTAGCTTTAGATCTTGAAGGCTTTTAACAGATTTCTTAAACGTTTTCTGACACAGGGGAAGTTTAGGAGTTAAAAATAATGAAATCAGAACAAATTATTTTATAAATCATGTTTATTTCATACATATAAATCCTTAGAAAAGTAATGTTTAACCCGTGGTGGGAGAGGGGTCACCTTCCTTTATTAGTGTATCGTTGATCAGAGGGCTCAGTGGTGACACCTGGCTCACAGCTCACAGCTCTGAGCTCCTCCGTGTGTCTCTCCTCTGAACACTAGATGGAGCCACGTCATCAGTTTGAGTCTCTGCAAAGATTCACATTAATCATCTGTTATATTTAAACAACAAACACTTTGACCTCATGACACAAAGGAAGATAAAGTACAGCACTGAGCGAAACAATGTGAGTGAGGAAGGTGTGTTTGGATTTGTAAATGTGCAGGAACGAGTTCAGGTGAAGCGTCGACACACAACATGTGTGTGTGCTGCTGCTGCTGCTGCTGCTGCTGCTGCTGTGACGCTGATGTTTCTGTATCCAGATACAAACGCCTGAAATAGATTGTGAGCCTCAGAAAGGAAAGACACCCCGCGGGTCCTCAGGCTGATAGGAGACTTGAACAATCGATTGTACAAAACCGAACACACACACACACACACACACACACACACACACACACTCATAACGCCCACAGACACACACACACACACACACACACACACACACACACACACAGATCCACAGGCTGAATGCTTTGATAAGTCGCTCTTTTGAAGACGGAGAGTTTTGAAGTCCCTTTTACTGATGTTGTTGGTTTGCGAGCCTCAATTAAATCCAGTTAATCATTTTAAATTCAAAGACTGCTTTTCTCATCCATAATGGATTCATGTGTAACGTAGAGGAGCTGCAGTAGGCCGGGCAGAGGAAGTGAACGTCTGTAATCCTCCCAGCTGCTGCAGGGCTGCGCTTACACTCGTCACACTGCGCTGACGTGTGCGCTCGTCTCAGATGTTATGGTTTTTGGCAGGAACAAAAAACATACATTTATACTTTTAGCAGCGTTTTCTAACTGTCTGTCCTCAGGGAGCCTTTTTATCACTTGATGTGAAAAACGAAATAAAGTGATTCAAATCTGAGAGGACAAACGTCCCCTCAGTTCAACTGCTGCACACTTACAGACATGCAACCTATGGCAGGGTGTCACACCAACATGCATCACATCATGTTAAAGCAAAGGAAGCAGGAAAATGTTCAGAGGCACAGCCAGAGTGAAAGGTGCCGAAATAACACTACAAGAATAAAATGTTTATCTTGTCAGGATTACAATAACTCTTAAACATCTGCAGCTCAGTCGCCACAAATACGTCACCTTTGTATGTACGCATCATATCAAGGTCTATAAAGCGATGTTATATATGAGCTCTCTGTCATCAGGAGGTGGAGGGATGATGGATGACATGTCACCGAAGCAAGACGCCTGCCGAAGCTGCAGACCACTGTTCAAGACTAACAGACAACAAAACCACAAAACAAAACAACTTGGGTGTTTTTTAGGGACCAGTCACTGTGTTTCCTGCAGCTTCATAGCAACTAAACATGGGTTTTTATTAGCCAGACACAGCTGTTTTTCCAGCTGCTTTTTATGCACCAAATGTGAGTGTTATTTTAGGGACCTGTCAATGTGTTTCTGGTGTCTTTTTAGGCCCCTAACGTGGGTGTTTTTAGGGACTTGTGGCTGTTCTTCATGAGGCTTTTTCACTCCCAAACTTGGATGGACTTTTTAGGGGAACTGTCTCTGTGTTTCCAGCTGCTTTTAAGGAACTAAACATGTTTTTTTTAGTGAGACATCCCTGTGTTACCAGCAGCTTTTTGTAGCTCCCAAACTTGGGTGTTTTTTAGGGACCCACCACTGTGTTTCCTGCGGCTTTTAAGCAACTAAACATGTGTTTTTTAGTGAGACATTGCTGTGTTTCCAGCTGCTTTTCAGCTCCAAATGTGAGTGTTATTTGAGGGACCTGTCAATGTGTTTCTGGTGTCTTTTTAGGCACCAAACGTGGGTGTTTTTTAGGGACCCATTGCTGTTTTTATGCAGCTTTTTCGCTCCCAAACTTGGGAACTGTCTCTGTGTTTCTGAGCACCAGTTGTGATACAGTGCCCTCCAAAAGTATTGGAACAGTGAGGCCAATTCCTTTATTTTTGTTGTAGACTGAAAATATTTGGGTTTGACATCAAAAGATGAATATGGGACAAGAGATCAACATTTCAGCTTTTATTTCCAGGTATTTACATCTGGATCTGATACACAACTTAGAAGATAGCACCTTTTGTTTGAACCCACCCATTTTTCATGAGAGCAAAAGTATTGGAACATGTGACTGACAGGTGTGTTTTGTTGCCCAGGTGTCTCCCAATTACATTGATTATTCAAACAATAAATAGCACTGAATGTCTGAGCTCAGTTTCAGATTGGGTACGATAGGTTTTGCCTGTGCAGACTGCATTTAGAGGTGGAACCAACATGAAAACCAGAGAGCTGTCTATGGGTGAAAAAGAAGCAATTGTGAATCTGAGAGAAGATGGACAATCAATCAGAGCCATTGCACAAAC